AATGATTATCCAAATACGAGGCCATCTTAGATGCAGTCCATATTTGTTAAAAGTAGCTGTTTTAGTGGATGTGTCGGATTGAGACAGCATTTTACTCAACTGGATTTAAAATGAATGTTATTAATGTTTGTCGCTTTTTCATTTTTTGCAGTCTCTTTTGACATAAATAAACACAAACTTCAATTGTCAGTTATTGATTTTATTATTTTAATGTGTTGTAAGAGAGAAAGATACGTATATTTGAAATTTTCTTTTGAATAAAGTAGAAATAATTTAAAAAAAGTGAGTGCAAAATGGTTCTCGTCTTGTTCATGACTTTTTTCTTACGCCACACATTTTTGATGAAACAAATATAAATAGATTGTTAAGATTGTTATTGAGAGCAATCGTAACCAAAAACTACAATATTTTTTTATTATTACCATTGCTTATTAGTTGTTTTCCAGAGGATACATATGATAAACAGAAAAGTAAAATCGATTTAATACATTTGTTGTGTAAAGACTAATGGAGCATTGTCTGTTTTCTAATACTAGAATCATATAATTATATTTAAAAAAATCGCTGTGAATAGAAGGAATGATTATTTACATTATTGATTTCAATAAAATCCTATGGCTGTCATTTTTTTATTGCTTTTTAATTAAAATAAACATTTTGAAAAACGAATTCTTGTTGAAATTTAATGAAAAATTCTTCGAAGATAATATTTGGCTCCTCTAGAAAAGCAACGAGTGTATGTAATTAGATATTTTCCTTTTTGTTAACGGATTCCCTTATAAATTATGTTAATCAAAACAACACTACATGAGAAAACAATAAGATAAGGCATTCTTTTGGAAGTCATGTGAAAGTTTTCACAGATTGAAGCATATTTATGAAAGGTAACGGTAAAAAGTTGATTCCATAGAAAACTCCTTACTGATCGGTTTAAATTTTTTGAGTTTTTAACTTTTTTTTCAAAACATTGATTATAAAAAGCTTTGTTTCACTGCTATCAAGGTAAATAAGTACAGTACCAGTGCACTAAACTTGAACTTTTAACAGCTGAAACTAACAAATTAAAACCATTTCTTCAAATGAACTGCTATAACGATGCCTTAGGTAGAACCTGAACTATTGAAATAGTGCCTACGAAACAAATTGATTTTTAAACAGTACTTTTATGAAAACTGTTATACATGGGCAGCTCTAGCGTCATTTTAGCGACTACCTAACTTTGGCTAGAGTAGAAATATTGACATTTTTTCGAAATAGCAAGTATGGCTTGTTTTCAAGATAGAAATCACGTATTCTTAGCCATCATACCTAGAACTGTTTCAGGGCTACTCCAGATATGATAACGAAACTATCGGAAGGCCTCCTAGAAATGCTGCCCATAGCTAGAAGACTTAGTGAGCATTATGTTTCTGTATATCAGTAATACTTGATAAAAATTATGCATAATGAATCCATAGTTGACTATGCATAAATAATAAGCATTATTAATGACCAGACACTTGTGCCGGCTTTGATTCTTTTCGAAATCGAACCAGTTCGTGTACTATTAGACATGTTTTTAATATAGATTTGAGACGATATCAATCATCTTATTCCCACAAAAAGAATTAGCCTATTGTAACACTTTCAATTCTAAGTGGAAATCATGACCGACTTTGTTCTTCTCATATCTATAGCAACAAAACACAACTTGTGCTTCAATAACCATATTTAAGTATTTATTTCATTAAGAATATTTAGATGTCGGTGCGATTGAAGAGAAAATTCACATACATACTCACACCAATGATCATTATCTTCATCATTGTCTTTTGTTGACTTTTGTAAAGATAACAGAAAACGAATTCAATAAATGATTCTAGATTTCAGTAACGATCAGCAAATTAAAACAGATTTTATTAAAAAATACATTATTTTTGGTAACAATTTTATAACGCCATAAGTTCATAAGTCTTCGTCGTCATCAGGTAATATAAAACTCCAATATTTTCAGCATACAGAAATGCTGAGAAATCGAGATCAATACACTTGAACGAAGTTGAAATGAATTTTCTTCCATGAATACGGAACCTCTTTTCCGTTATGCATAAAAAAGACGATTAATTTTTATTACATTATATCCTTGTTTTGGCAAAATCGTGTGCCGTCTTATTTTCGTCACTTTTTCATTTTTATTCAACGACACATGTGATTGATTTTTCTGCAACCTTAACCTAGGATTCCATAATGTCATAATAGTTTCCTCAGTCAATTGCTTGCTCGTTCACTATTCAGCTTACTTCTTATAACTTTATTAGCTTTGATGGCCAAAGCTGAAATTTCAGCACGACATATAGACGGAAAAAAAAGCATATCATAGCTGGGATCTTGGTAACGAAATGTAAATTGTAGTTTCCAATCAATTTCCAAGCTCAACAGAGAAACGGGTTTCAAAATTGTAATTCGATTCTGCACTGATATCGTAGTATTGTAGATTGTTTTGGCGATGAAAAACTATTGATCTGACCTTTATTTTACGATCTTTGACATCAACCTTGTTGCCACACAGTACGATGGGAATATTCTCACAGAGACGAACTAAACCCTTGTACCAATGGGACACATTACGATAAGTAATACGTGGCGTGACATGAAAGATAATAATGACATATTGACCATCAATATAGTAAACATCGCGGAGATCTGATCAAAAAATATATTTTAAATTCATTTAGTCATTTTTTTTTATCTCTTTACCGCCAAATTTCTCTTGACCAACTATGTCCCAAACATTGCAAATAATTTTAACTAATTTGGTATGAAATGGTAGTGGTAAACTTTGAATCAGATAGTTGCATCGAACCTCTACTCAATTTCATCTGTCATATGCTGATTCACAAATGTCGTTTTGCCTACAATAGTGATATTTGTCATAACATATTCAGTTTCACAGAAAACATTGGGATCCAACATTCTTACTCCACCATCACCTACTAGAGTAAGTGTGAATTCAGGAACGCATTGTTGATCTGACACCATTGCTATCTTGAATTGATCATTAATGATTTGCGATAGTGAACAAGAGAGAGAGAATAAGCGATGTAATTGTACAAGATGACAGCAAAAAGAAAAAAAATATTTCGTTGCTTCTTTTGCTACAATCATTGTTTAGTAAAAATATGACCAAATATTAACATGCATTATGTAATATCATTCATTCCTGTAAGTCTTAAACTGATTCATTTATCTAAACAAGTCAATACACAGACATTTAAGATAAACAGAAGAGAAAAAATCCTTTTTTCGTTTTCTCTCATCTTTAACTGTACGAAGAGGAAGGGGGTGGGTTTTGGAGTTCTCGTGTATCTTGATAATACTCATATATCGAGTGAGACAATTCTTTTGCAATGGCTTTTTATCTTTTGCGAGTATCTCAGTTCACACCCACGATAGAGTATGAATGTTTATTTCAAAAGATATGAAATTTAATTTCTTATTAAAACTCTATCATTCTATCTGCATTAGAGAGTGGATGTAGGTATGGCTGAAAGGATACCAAATATCTTCAACCTTGCCAACGTTCCCACCACAACTGCCTATCGCTGTGTTCTTGTGTAAGCTCCATGTACTGAAGCATGGAGAAGCCAGTAAAACAAATGCTTTTATCTCACTGAAATTTCCTTCATCAAGTTTCGCCACACTGCACTTCCTATATTCTCTCAAGTTCTAATAAGAGTAGAGAGTAGTATATTTTCATAATTGAATTTAGACGTCTTCTCAACAAATAGTATTGTGTACGCTACATAAACAAATTTTTATAGCGGTCATCAATTCCTGAATCTTAAAATAATGAGATCATTTTTTCTCACAGGAATATCAACTGTTAGTGAAATTTTTCTCTAAATCGTCATTTTTAACTTTAACTGAAGCATTGAAATCGATTCAGCATGTAACTCAAATGCATTTAGTAAAAACTTCATTGATTTGCGTCAATATAACTAAAGAGAAATCTGAAGTTGGCATCCAGCTGCTCATAATGTTTATGCATGGCACTACGAAGTTCGACAACTGCGTTGTTAAAATTTAGTCGACTCTTCAGTTTTATGCTTTTATGCAGGAAAAGCTTGAAGTGAAGTCAAATATTTGGTACGTCCTTTGGAATGTCAACATCGGGTAAAGACCATTGATCAACTTCTGAAAACGTTCTGCTCCAACAGTGCATCCCGTAACATTCGAGATTCGGCAATATGTTTAATGTGTTCAAGAGAAATACATTACAATTAAACATGCCACATGTGAAGCAATCATCGTCGAGATGAATGACAAGAGATCGAAGACGCTGGTGTCGAAAACTGGTACTGACGTGCGAATCATTGTTGTCGACAATATGAAGGGTGTGGATATGAGTGTAGGCGGATGCGAGGTGTTAATGTGGATGTCGTTCTTATCATCAACGGCAGATTTATCCATATCTCACACCCACACGCAGAGCTACCCACACTAATACTCAACCGTCTGTTAACAGGTGGCTCTTTATTTGGCTTTCTTTAATCTTTGTCAACATAGAACAGTGAAAGAATTTCTTCTCATCCACTCTACACCACCTTGGAACAAATCGAAACAGTAGGTGAAACCCAACGAATCTCAAGCACTATAATAACAGTACGAGCCAACACAATGAGTGAGCAGAAAAAAAATTGAAAAAAAGTCAACCTTGTTGTGAGCATTATTACGTCTGTTTTCTTCTTTTATCACTTTCTACCAGCACAAAAAGCACATGGTTATAATTTCATAAGTAAAATGAGTCGAGTTTTTTCGGCCAGTTCCTATCGAAATCGGACAGAGTTCTAACTCTGAAGGAAGTTCCTTTTGTTTTGAACAATACTGCATATCACAGATCATATGAATCTTTTTATTAAATAAATATTAAATATTAATTTTAGACATGTGATTTGTTTCACTACAATGAACTTTTGGCAGTTAAATAGACTAATTTAATCAATCCATCGAAAAAGAAAGAACTAATTCGATATCGATTTAGAAAAAATAATGAATACGGCAGCAATAATTCGTAATAAAGTTCCACCAGCAAATATTAAGTAGTTTCTCAGTCCTCTAATGTCCTTGAAATAGAAGATCGACCAAAGTGCAGCAATTGTTGCTGGTACAGTTGTTACAAGTGGAAATGAAATTGCTTGACTTAATACAGTATTAGCAAAAATAAAGCCAGCTTGTGCAATGCCCCACATAACGCCAGAAATAAATGCGGGCAATATGCTTTCGACACAAACATAAGGACGATTACGCTTGAAAATAATGTATACACCATAGTAGACCGATGATGTTAGTAGTATACCTGTATACATAGCAAATACATAATGAAGACCATTTTTTACCGCTCCCGGATAGTTCTCCTGATGGTCTTGGATATAGGTACTAGGAGTAAAAACAAGACCAAAGAGGATTCCAGCCAAAATTGCTAAACTACAACCAATTATACGCATTTTTATGTTCACAGTCGATGACATTTCATTGTCACCTTCTGGTGCTATTTCAAATGACCTATTGATTATTGATGAATTGGTGAAATGACGGATAGGTCGTGAATCGACAAGTTGTTCTTTTGATTTCCTTGTACGAATAGCAAGAAATACGATACCACTAAGACAAGCAATGGCAACACCAACATAATTAAAAGCAGGAATATCGACATTTTCTGGCTTCAAACCAAACCAACCAAAATGGCCACTTGCCCATCCTATTGAAAAGACACTAATTATCTTATCTCTTAAAGATTATAGAATTACTCGCCCATGAGCTTGTTTGTGGTGGACCAGAGCAACATTGATAGACCAAGACCATTTATAGAAATGACATAAACAGAGATAATATTTCCAGTTGTCCATAATACTCCACCGATCATTACCAATGGAAAAAATGGTGGACTTTTGACTATTAAATTGATGACAGCTCCTGTGATCCAAATTCCAACACATAAGAAGAATTGAAATGAGAAGCCATCACGGATAGAATATTTTGCTGCTGGCACAAGATTTGAACCGAAAAATAAAACAGCAACTAAAACGGAAATATAACCAGTCCAAATTGGAGGAGTATCGAATCCGGGTGTAACTGTAATCGTCGTGTTAATTGTTGTTAATAAACGGTCCATTGAGATAACACGCCAACAGTTAAATAAATGTTAAGATATAAACGTCGATATGATGTTTGATCTTTTATCTTTTTTCTTCTTTCTTCTTTGCTGTCCTTTGCACTCAACCACGTTTGTGCTTGTTGCGTTGAAAACAAGTGTACATATCTCTATTTCGTCTTATAATTATTGTTACATCGGTTACCTTAGATAAATATCATCGTAGTCAGTTTTATGCAGAAAATCGGAAGTTAATGCATTCCTAGAGCTATAATACTTCTGTATTTATTAAAAAAAAATTGATCTTATTGAATGAACTCTAAATATTTCAGGTTCATTCGACCATAGACATTCAAATTCTAGTAGCTTTGATATTTCATTGAACTAAAATCGAATAATTGTTTGATGCCTAATTGGTTTTTACGCAAATTTTCGATGCGAACACTTCAACATATAAACAATAGTAACACGAACTATACATCCTTCTTATAAAAAAATAATTGTAGAACAAAGTTTATAAATCTGCAGATATTGATATAGATTCAATAATTGTTTTCTCATATGAATAATCATTAACTATAAAAAAACATGATCTGCCAATGGATAAATATTTGTGAGGCTGTATGATTTGAGTCTTCAATAGATTCATAGAATTGAAAACTGTTCATTCTTCTTCTGAACTTTCAACTTCTAGAAAAGATGCACTTCAATTATTTGACCTAGAGTTTTGACGCTCATCAGAGGGTATTTTTTGGTGGAATCAACATTTGAGAAAATTTCTAAGAAAACAAAGACTTCTTGTCACTAGATGTCTCATTACTGAGTATTCGATATATTTAGAATATAGGCGAAAGAGAAGATTATGTTGAATATAAATAACTTCGCTAATATCAAAGGAATAAAAAAGTAAAACATGGATTGAAATTAGATTTTGAAGAAGTTTCATTAGTACAAACTACATTAAACCATGAAAATTATTGACCATAGTTTTGCTTCCATGAGCATTGAAAATTTTGATGAGTTTCGAATACTCATCACCTTCATCGTGTGTAATTTTTAATATTTGCTGGAATATTTTTTTTTAACTTGTCGAAGTATTAGTACGTAAGTCATCAATATATTATGAATCAATGCATTATTCATGCATTTCGTCTTTATTTACGTGGATATCATTTCTTCATCTTTTGTATGAAACTTTTTATTCAAACTTGTCTCAGTGAATAAATTAATTGTCAATTCATTTTGACAACACTTCTTTTAACATCATGAAATTGAATATTTATTTACAAATTTTGATGAAACTTCCATAATTTGAAAAAAAAAATTACAAATCATTTCAAATATTGAACAATTTGTCTATAACTGATCGGTTTTGATTCGGTCAAATTGTCTTAAGGGTTCTTTAAGAAGATTCTCTCCGTTTCTGACCCAAAATTTTTAGTTTTTTTTCTGCTATACATATTCTTCGAAGTTTCCTCTATCTATTGGATATGTTTTGAAAATTGGAATATGTGCATTACAAAACAAAATCAAAAAAAAGTGAAAAATAGAATAATTCACAATCTATCTCGGCCTACTAGGATCTAACTCTTCTATCTTTCCGTGCATATTCTCGTGTAACGATATTTTTCATTGACATTCTCAATCATATGAGCGCTATGCGCCATTTCGGTAGCATCACCACATTGTTCATGATAGATCAATATGAATTTGAGTAGATCCTGATAGCAGACATGCAATCAGAATTTACAGTTTTTAGACTCTAATCAATCTTGATAAATTTCAATATAAATTCTAATGCAAGTTTGATACAGACTATATAAGTTTTGTAGTTCATTTACACCATGGACTTCAGGCAAGTATCACTATCTCTACTGATATGAGTGCGGATGTGTGAGTGCGAATCTTCTCTGCAGACACACTTACACGCACATTCACACTTAAACAATATAAATCGGAAAATTTCCAGTACGATGAGAATTTCGGTTGTACTGCATCAGAAATAAAAAGTGTTAAATTCAGAAACAATAGGCCTTTGAATAGATTGGATGGCATTGAGATGATTCTTAAACTTTTGCTAAAGCAGGTTTTAATCTTCAACGTGTTATATTTTCTCACATATTATCGGAATATCAAAACAGGTCTTAGAAACAGTATGTATTTTAAGGTAAATATTATTAGAAAGAACCAATGGTTTTAACCCTATTTTCAGAGAAGTTCAAAATATATTAAACAAATTTTTCATCAACATACCATATCAAAATCCTTGCAGTCAATATTTTAAAAATCGTATCGATGGTTCCAAAATTCAGCGAAGCAATAATTTATTTATGCTTGTGATCATCACTTAGAGCAAATCCGAACAATGAAACTCATACAATGAAGATAAACAATTTTTAAGAGTGCCATGCAGTGACTTCATCAACAGATGAAAGAAAAAAGTTTTATTAAAATATTCATAGCTTCATTTAACTTTTGATCAGATAATGTCACAGTGGTTCTTAAAACTTTACTAAAGGTAGTCAACATTACAGACGACATATGTTGTATTTAAACATGAAGTACAAATACACACACGTTTTTTAAAGTACAAATAAAATACTTTTCCTTACTGTTTTTTTCCTTGTCCTAGCTCCGGCACCTAGCCATACCCACATCCTCAACAGCGACAAGAATAAACCACGAACAGATGCGATGCATGTTTATTCTGTAGTATCTATAGAAAAGAAGAAATAATAACCACGACATGGTATCTATCGATAGTTTGCAGTTATCTTCGTTATTAGTAAAATATAGGGAGTTGCACAACAGATTTGTACAGTTTTTGCTCGATTGCCTTCGGATAAGTTGGATCAAGAAATCTATTTTACCTTCCTTTAATAAAAGTATCGTTTTTTTGCAAATTTTCCCATCGATGTCGAAAAATGCACAAACTTTAGGTGAACTTAACTTCCTATCAACGTAGCTAGACAGATTAAGATTTTCGATATCGCTAATTCAGATGTGAATCCACTGCTGATAAATAATCGTATCATGGCATTATAAAAAAAGCAACTAGTACTGCATTCAGTGAAAAAATTTTAAAAAAGAAAAAAATCAAAGATGTGCTTTTATTTGACTGTTTATGTGATGCAATGCACATTGGTAATTTTTCGATCGATATGTAGACATCGTTCTCAAAAGAAAGTCGAACAACTGTCTTTAAGTAGAAAATTGAATTTTCGTTTTGTGATTCGATTAATTGATACTTAGTTTTAGTTAGACATTGTAACTTTTGAAAATTGTTTTACATACTAAACGGCAAAAGATTCAAATTGAAAACTTTAGAGCAAAGATGGACCCGAACAGGACAAACTGTTGCCAGACTAGATCAAAATGGAGGTATTGAAGCTTTGGTAAGCATGAAGAATATGCAAGACATTGAGATATGTGAAATGATCGAGCAAGAATTCGTTGGTTAATGATAACAATTTCATCTTTTGTCAACTGACAATCACATGAATCAAGATCTTAGCATATAGTTGTACATAATCAAAACTGAAAAGTGCATTGTGCTAATGTGCCACTCACATTCGTCGAGCTCGTTGCATTTTTGTTCTATTTTTATCATCAACCTTCCTTAAATCATCAAGGTAAGAGGAGGAGATCATTGTTGAAGTGTTGATGCATGAATCACTGACGCAATGGAAAATATTCATCGGATAACTCTATATTTTTTCTCAAATCGAAGCTATGAGCAAGATTCCCTGCTCGTTGAATATATCATAAACGCAATAAGATGGCTAGCATCTACAACAAAGCTTCAAAAAATTCTAGAAAGAACAGATGAGAAAAACTACACTTAGTATTCCAAGCACACGATGGATCTGAATATACCGGTTAGGGATCCGCTTGTATTTTCTTTCTCTTCTTTGATAACAACAAATTAAGTCACTATTACGATGCTTCATTTGCTCTTTCGACCTTCTACAATCTATTCACATGGATTTTTTTCACGTTATTTTAGTAAAATAAAATCAAAACATGATTTAAAAGAGTTCGACATCTTCCATTACAAAATGGTTCATCGACGAGAGTGAATTTTTTTCGAATATTAGATAAAAGAAAACGACTATTAATTGATGGCTAAAATCATCCAAAATAGGAAGAGCTTTTCGCATCTCCCATAAAAGATGTTGAATAAGTCAGATGAGTTATTCCGCTGATTTAATCGTATCATAGAAGAGTACATGTCGAGCATAAAAACTCTCCTTGAAGATTAAAAATTATGACGATTATAAAAGACCATATACGACTGTAATCTGTTGCATTTTCTAATATATGAATTATAGCCACATTATCACGATACTTGACGGCCATAAATCATACCATCGTATTGTACAGAGCGATCATTTGTTGTTAAATTTTATTCTGTACGTGTGTTTACGATTTTGAGCTCTTCATAGTTTAGATTTTTACACCCCGTGATTTTACCTTGTGTTTTGGCAGAAACGAGCACCTTCATTTGAAAGTATCCTGTACGCATATCAAGTTGATCAAGAATTTCAATTTAGAGAAATGTCATCAAATTCAACTACCAACGACTCATTTTTTCGACGATTGTGTGGAGGTGGTGCAGATGTTTATCCTGAAAATACTTCACAGCGCAACAAACGCAAAAAGATCCTAGTCGCAACCACTATTTCGATTGTCATTGTAGTGTGTCTCGTCACTATTCTCCCTACAGTTCTCATTCTTACTCGTCGATCATCCATTGAGTCACCAGCTTCGACAACTATTTTCAGCACAGACAAGTAAATATTGATTAGAAGAATCTCTTCTTTCTAATAAATCTGTAGATTACCCTTGAATGGTTCTTCAATCGACTATCGTCTCATGGCATATGTGGGTAACGGACACGTAGCAACAGTTATTTTCAGTGATTTCATTTATATGAATGGACTCTATAATGGTGGCAATGGTTTGTTTTTTTTCTTGCTTTCTATTTCACTCGTTTATTCTGAATGAAATAGGTACCAGTCATCGAGCTCGTATTCCAAGTACTCATAATTGGCAATTTAAATTAGAATCATTATCATCATCGTTGTACTCGCTTGATGTTGCATCCGGTGAGAATATTTTCGTCGAAAAATGATTCTCTCTAAAAGGTCGATTTCTTTCAAAGGAATATTCACTGAAAAACTCGAAAATGATCAAGTACGCATTGAACGACGTATTTTTGCTTCACAAGAATATACTGAACTGTTAATTGCTCATGTGGTCATTACTCGATTGACATCGAAAGGTAGGACAATTAGAATCTTGCACTCATGTTCGATGTCTTCGTCGACATTTTTTCGTAGGTCATGTGATTGTTGTGCCCGTGGAAGTCAATGAACAAACGACCAGCATCGATTTCGATCTTCAAGTTTTGTCTCGTGATGATAAACACGTGTAAGTACCACAACGATTCTTCAATGAATTGAATTGTTTTTTATCGAAGACTTTTGTCGGGAATGACACGAGAAGTAGAGAATAATCTATTTCAAAACGATCGACTGTCTCTATTTATGTATTATACACCATTACCGATCGATGGTTTTCAACTTGGCGAAGAAGAAACTAGTCGAACTTATCTGTTTGTTACTTCACTTGATACAGAACAAACACGAGCGAAACAAAGTTTTGATTACGGTACGCTATTGGGTTATTTATCAAAAGGAGAATCTTTTCTCGAATTCGAAATCTGATGAATCAAAATTTCGAAATTGAACAATTGTTTTTTGTAAATAGCATCTAATGAACGAGAACCGGATGAAATATGGTCATCGCACGTTTCTCTTTGGAATCAAGTCTGGTTAAATGGACGAATTGAAATTCGTGATGATGTTGAACTACAACGACAAGTGAATTCTGCTCTCTATTATATTCTCAGTTCGCTCCCGCCATTATCGACACGTAGTGAACATAAACAATTCTATGGGCTTAGTCCAGGCAGCTTGTCTCGTGGTGGTAGGCTAGGAGAAGATTATGGCGGTCATTCGTTTTGGGATACAGAAACATGGATGTATCCATCGATTCTTCTCTTCTATCCAACGTATGTCTATTGCGATATTTGTTTGGCACAATAATCGAGAGTAAAATTTGTATCTGCTTAATTTAGATTAGCTAAAGAGATCCTTTCATATCGTATCGCTCTACGTGATGCAGCTGCTCATAATGCTCATCTATTTGGCTATATTGGATGGAGGTAAGATTCGTAGTTCTTTCATGTTGATTTATGCTATGAGCTCATAGATATCCTTGGGAGAGCGCACGAACAGGAATCGATGTAACTCCAGATTGTTGTCCGGAAGTTCGTCTGTATCAGATGCATATCACTGGTGATATAGCTTTTGCTGCAAGACAGTACATTGCTGTCACACGTGATCAGTCGTGGTTGAAGTTCGAAATGGGCGGTGATCTCATCTATGAAACAGCACGATTTTGGGCGTCAAGAGCGATATACAATTTAGACCGAAAACAATATGAAATCTTGAGTAAATTATTTCATTTTTGATATACAAATTAATCACATCGAATTGTGTTCATGTAGTGGTATTACCACCTGATGAAGATGCTCAACCGTTCAAGAACAATTCAGTCTTTACGAATGCTGTTGCTTCGCTCTCTATTCAATTAGCAGATCGAGTCAGTTGTATAACTGAAAAGTCAGTGCCTCCAGCATGGCTCGACATAGCCAACAATCTTTATTTTCCATTCGATAATGTAACTCAAATTCATCTCGAATATGAAAATTTCAATCCTAGTATGTTAATTCATACCTTATTTCTCTTGAAAAATTTTCGACAACTCGATCATTCTCATTCTGATTTCCGTGAGAATGAAATTGTTTTTGAATATGTCAGTTGTATTTGTAGAGAATGCGTCTATAAAACAAGCCGATGTAGTTCTTCTCGGTTTTCCATTGATGTGGCCGATGAGTAAAGAAGTACGACGTAACGATCTGTTGACCTATGAACGTCTCACTCGAGATGATGGACCAGCTATGACTTGGTCAATGCATGCGATCGGACATCTTGAGTTGAAAGATTTCGAACTGGCAGAAGAGCTCTTTCGACGTTCATACGAAACCTATGTTCGACCACCATTCAATGTCAGTTGAATCTCTTTATATCGATTTATTCAGTTCTCAAGTTTAGGTATGGACTGAAGCTCGATCTGGTGTTGGTGCTGTCAATTTTATAACAGGCGCAGGAGGTTTTCTTCAGGCAGTACTTTTCGGATACGGTGGCATTCGTTTAACTCTCAATGAACTTGAAATAATGCCACCGGGTCGTTTGCCCAATCGATCGACACAACTAGCCTTTCATGGTCTCAAATATAATGGTGCTACATTTGACGTGATGATCGAGAAAGAGATGTATCATGTCAATGTAGTTGCGTTGAATAATGACAATTCCCAATCAATGCTCTATGAACACGAACAACAACGAGGTTCGCTTCGAGTTAACGATACTCTTTCCTTTCGGGTTGATACACGATTGATTATTCATCTAGCTGCACCGCTCTGTCCTTGATTCTTTCTATTGATGTTCGTTATTTGGTAGCCAATAAATATAACTACATAGATTATTGTGTTTGACTGTATGTGGGTATGGGTATGAACTTAAGAGATGGTACGCTTAATCCATGCCTACAATCACATCCAATTCGATTTTTTTAATTTTTTATCCTTGTAAACTTTATGATCCTTCGATGCTGCTACAAAATTGGTTTTAATAAAATAGGATTCATACAAACAGTGCATGTGGATGGGCGTCTGTCTTCTGTTCTTCTTTATTCACTTCTACATCGAGTAGAGCTCACTTGCTTCACACTAAAGTCTCAAAATGCTTTTGTAGATGAGTCTTTAGGTTCATGAGGATGTGAATGTCAGTCTACTTGTCATCCACACCCTAGCCATTCACTGTTAGCATTTTTACTGTCTTATTCGTTGAGTCTCTACGTAGTTATTGAGAGATACTTACAGTTACAAGTACACAGTGGTGAAATGAATAAATATTTGTAATAATTATGTTTTGCTGCAAACCTTTCTCAATAATATTTCTTTTATAGACATCAAGTAATTGAACAAAGAATAGCAATAAGCATCTAATCATCTTGAACAAACATTTCACATGATGTTCTTTTTTAAAACATTTGTTTATTTTACAGTGAGTGATACTTCTTCGTTTGATATAACTATGAACTTTATTTAAGTTTACATACAGTATGATCATTTGATTCAAATTAATTGAAGCAATTGTAGCTTAGTAGGTGTGAAATTAATATTAACTAGACATAGATAGACGAGAATCCGAATTGAGGCTTTGTCATTCGTTTCGGTCTCTAGCTCATAAACCCATGTAAAGGTCGTGATGCAAACATTAGAACAATCACGAACTTTCACGATTGTTTCTCTGAAAATGTGTTCAAGTATCATTAGCTTTTTCTTTCAAAAAGTAATATTGATTCTAAATATTCTGTAGAAGTTTTCATATGCTTTTTAATAGCCATTAGTAAATATTGAAAACACTTTTAATCGAAAATATTTTTAAAATGTAACGCTATCATTAAATGTTCACTAAAGTCTCTAAAGATTTCTAATACTATTTGTACAGTTTTAAAAAAGCTTTCATTATAAAGCATTCCTAATTACTCACGTGTTCCAAAAGAAAAAAATACTCAGCTGATGTTAACGTAGTGACAATTAGTATTTTTTCTGATGCTTGCATGATGAATTTCACAAGAAAAGTCTATCTCAATCCATTCTGTTTTCATGACAAGATTGAAGATTGAATTGAAGCACCAATAAATTATAATACATACGAGATTAGTGTCTCAACAACCTTTGTAAGCCTTCCCAAAGGCGTAAAAGATTATGTATAAAGTCATATGTGACTTATTATAATTATTATCGATGTTGCTCAAAATGAAAGCTAAATTCTGATAGAAAATAAAAATATCAAGAATTGTCATTGATTGTTTCATGTTGAATTATTTTCTCTTCAACCCTGTTAGAATTACATGTCACTTTGAATTATTGCACTGATTATCTTTATTTACTTGATGGTTATTTTCAAGGATTTCAAGCACTTTGTGTTAATATTAATTATATTCTCTCTTCACATCTACAAATAAATTACACAGTGGATGACATTTTTTATTAATAACTAGTCGATTCCAATGAAATTAAACTTTATTTTTTTCTAGGAAAAAAAATACTTGGTTTAAGTTTTTATTCACTGTACTGTGATATGAGAACAGATGTTTATGATAAATTAGTTGTATGTATGCAACATCAACTGTTAAACTTAGCGAAAAATGATTTATATTTTTGTAGTTGTTGACAAGGTAAAATTTATTGATGCTAATGAAATGAAAAAAAAATATATTATTAATTATCTACTGCTATTAAACAAATTTCTATTTAGTATGTACTCATCCATTCATTTCAATGGTCGTAGTAATTTACCTTCAAATGAAGCTATTCAATATACATTTAGAAGTTTGAAAGGTAATCAAATTATTTCTTATGTTGATTACTCTCTAGATACAGAAGACAGTCTATGTTCTGTCTACAACTATCCATATAGATTATACTCTTATAATAATATATCAGATAATTTTTTCGGTGGACTATTTAGATATGTTCATGAAAATCAAAGCTCATGAGGATTACGCCAAACAATTTTTTAATGGATAAAAACAAGTGTTTACCAAACAATCTTTAACTTACTATTGATTATAAGTCTTTACAAAGAGTGACACATAATTTGAGAAGAGATACAATACGAATTAATTATGCAAAACTATGTTACACAAACTGTCCTGGACAAAAATACCTGTCCCTCTGCCGTAAATTGCTCTTACTTCTTATGATATAAGACTAATATTTTGGATATAGATTGTTCTTAGTGAATTCTGATAACAAGCACCAACCCTTCTTCAATCGGTTGATATAAATTTGAGTTATTCCGATAACAATATCATCAGATATCTGCAGTCAAAGTTTGGTAAGAAATTATCCTTGAATAACGGAGATCTGAAGTTTGCATTGAAAATTTGAACCAAGTACGTAGCCATAATTTTCAGTCTGGCGTCACTAACTCAAGCTCAACTTAATGAATTCAGTTGCAAATTTAAGCAATAAATTCTCATGAATCCACAAGTTTGTGGTACATTTTTCAGAGCTGTAGCTCGGTGTAGAGCGAGGAAAGAGTCATCGGAAGAGTTCATCACGGCATAGATTGTCAATCGATGAAATTTCGTTATTATGCAACGAGCTTTGGACCAAAGAAACTAGATATCTTGGACTGCAATTAGTGTCAATAGAAAACGACAATAAATTGTAGGCAGACGAAACAACAAACGAACATTTTCTTAGATCGTATTTCCTTTTAATGTCTTTTAACACGACGCTAACAATGCATCCATGCATAAGGTACTTCTATATTACGAAGAATTCAGCTCCAAAATCATGTTGCTGATCTCATAGAGTTCTTTGTGAATCTTATTAGGCTTAAATGTACGTACTCTAGAATGCTTTGACAAAAAAACGATCATTCTCTGAAAAATGAGCACAAATTCACTAGTATTCGAGAGCTTCGCATGCATAGATGCATTGTTAGTGTCGTGTTGAAGAAATTGAAATGAAATGCGATCTAAGAAAATGTTCGTTTGATGCTTCTTCCTTTTACAATTCATTTTCGTTTTTTTTTTTTGTACTAATTAAATCAAGCATTCATGCAACAGCACAGTATATTGCCTTGAGATAAAATAACCATAAACAGAGAGTATTTAGAAGAGGTGTGATATGTATTTTAATGAAAATGTTTGTGAAGTGGGTGACGAACGTTTTTCGAAGTAGTGCACCAATGTCAAGCTATTTTGCAGCAGTATGCTCGTAAAAAGAACCATATCAACATGTCATGAATGCAAAGTGAAAAGGGTATGGATGTATAGAAGAACGTATTTTAGTGCACACAAACATTCACATCCGGCCCCATAAGAATACATACCACACTGTTTCCCAATTCTTCTCCATTTATGGTTATTTTATTTCAAGGCAATGTATGGTTCTCTTATATCATGCTGTTATGAATCATGATTTAAAATATAGGAAAAGCAAAACAACTCTAGTCAATGCTGAAAAAATTTTAAAAAAAAGAAAGTGTCACATAATTAACAGGTGAAAGACTCATTAAATGTTTATCGACACAATTGATTCTCAAGTATATATAAAATAGTTATATATACAGTTCTATCGTGTTGTTTCTGTGTCACAACATTGAGGTAGATTCAAGGTATACTTCTTGTGACATGACTGCAAGGTAACTTGGCGGCGCTTAAATCATGCAATTATTTTATTTTATGCTCTAGTGAGGGTTCATTCAACTCTATCAGTATAATCAATGAACATTCGAACCAAACAAAGTCAAATAAGACGATTACTAAATATTTTCAGCAATTGTCCTTGCCTACATGCACTCGTGACCAGAATCGTTTTGGAAAACAGCTTCATTCAAATAGTCGCACATCGATATTTTTGCCACAAGAGTCATCCTTAAACAAAAATCATGGAATACCCATTTTGTGAGTTCTAAGGATATTGTTTATTAGAAAAGCAAATATTATTCAAACTTCTTCTCTGCTCTTTAGTCATCGACTCAAATCGACATCTCATCGTCAAACTGCAACACTTCAATTAAAAGCAATATTAAACGAGCCCGAAAGTTGTCTGCCAGTCTATATTCGTAGAGCGACAAGCACATTGGACGCAAACAAGGTATTATCGATAGATGAAATTTCGAAATTACTCAATACTCCGGCATTCATCATTGAACGAATAATAAATGCTCTGAAAATTTTGTCTACAAGTGAAGAATTAACCCCATTGAACAAGAGTGCAGTACATAAATTTACACGTGTTCTTAACAGTACAATTGATGTGCGAGCTCTTGTTTTTTATATCATGCTCGGTGGAAACAATCATCAATATATAACTGGGGAAGAAGTAACCGATTTCTATGAAAACTATTTGGCGGCCATGAAATCTTTCGATGAGAAATTTTCGCCAAATATTATTAAAGTTCTTCTTCAAAAATACCACCTCGATGAAGTAAGTTCATGCGAAATATGAATAATAGATCATGATAGATTTTTCATTTCGTTATTCTCAGAAACCTCAAATAGATTTCGAAGAATTCTATTCAATCATCACAAATGATGAAGCTTTATTACAATCATTTTCTCAATTTACTCTTCACCCAACATGGTTTCATAGCCAAGAGGTGCCCACATCTAATAAAAGTATTATTCAACAAGTTTTTGCGAGAGTATCTCAGCAAAAGAAGGTCTATGATGAACAGAAGAAAAAACTAACACTTGAATATGTCAAAGATAATCTTGCAAGAGTGATTATTATCATTTTTTATATGTTAATGAATTTGGGATTGCTATTGTATGTTATTATCAAACGAGCCATAATAGACCATTCGCATGTATTTGTGGTCTTTGCAAGAATTGGTGGCATGCT